ACCCATACAATGTATTTTTGGCTATTGCTATAAATATACCAGTGCGACTTAAGACTGGTTTTGTTGTCCATGGTCACATATAATATATAATAATTGTTATAATATAATATAATATCAAATATAATATAATATAATGAATTATGGTAGATTTCCCAGATATTTTTTCCAATATTCTCAAGAAAAAATTCATATCAATATCAAAAATCTCCTTCAAACAGTCAAACATTCCATGAAAGAGACATAGTTTATTCATAGTTTATTCATAATAAAGTTCAAAGCATAAGGTCATTGCAATGTTGTTATTATGCTTATAGTAAATGTCAAATGTCATATAATAACTGAGTTGGTCAATAAAGGATGGTTGTGTACAAAATATAATGAAGCCTAAAATAAGACTTGTCGTCTAGGTAAATCCTTCAAGTTCTTAAAACAGGGAGAAACTGCTTCTTGTATCATAAGAAGACTTCCAAGAGAGTTTCTTTGAACAGGGATGCATTTTGAATATTTATTGGGAGTAGTGTTGGATCTGGAGTAGAGATCATACTTCTCTCTCTTCCATAGGGGGAAAGGTTGATTCGTCTCTCTGAGATGTGTAGTAAGCTGGAGACCGAGTATGAGAAGGTTCTGCCCTTCTACACATCCTCACTGAGTGAAGAAGAGCTGAATAAGGAGAGAGCCAATGCCATGGAGCCGCTGAATGAGAAACTCGCTCAGGTAATGAGCATTCAAATCACACTCAGTAGTCCTTCAGATTCCATGTTGAACTTGCATTCAACTTGCATTGTGGCTTTTCACAACCCAATGAATTTCAGATGGGGAAAAAAAACATCATTTTCTCAATGGATATCAAGTTTCACTTAGATATATATTATATTGTGAACTATTTCATGCCAATTCATTACTTTAATTTGATGTGTAGCGTTTATTGACTTCTGACTTGTCCTGTTCTCTGTGCCCAGCTAATGCTTGACCATTTGCCTCTTGAGAAGTTCTGGCAACGGTACAATAAGGTTCAGCTTGAACATTTGTGTCTGAAGCGAGAGAAAACGCTGCTGTTACAGGAGAATGAACGACTGAGGCTCTATCTGAAGCAGTATCTGGATGAAGTTTCGGTTTCTGATGAGAGTTTTCGGCAACAGAAGCTTCTGGTGGTGTTGTCTCCTTCTCTTCAGGACACCGCTGCCACTGAGAGACGCGATCAGAAGCGCTATGTGGTCCAAGAAGCAGCAAATGTTGTGCACAAACAGTTTTAGGGAATAAAAATGCAATGCAAGTGTTTCTGGTTACAATTAAAATGTTTTCTGCCTAGCATTCAATCAGTTAGTCTGTTTAATGCAATGATCTCAGTACATTTTATATTAAATTTATGATTTTAGCAGACACTTTCTTCACAGCTTTTTTATACTTCTGTATATCAAGTTACGACAGTTCTAGAGAAAAAAAGAAGGGTTTTAATGTCCTCAAGATGGCGCCAAATCATTGAAGATTCCAAAAATTTTCCATTATAGTTTATCTGGAGGGGTTTTAATGCGTTCTGTAACCAGTGTGTCCTGTTTTCCAATATTCTAAAGCAGAAATACTAAATAGCAAATTTAAGTATGTTAATGAACAACAATAGCAGTAATTCTGTGTTTTGAAATTCTAATATTGATTCTGTGGATTTGCTACAAGGTTTGTCTGCATTTTTCAAACTCCTTATCAAATACTGACCTGGAGTGAATGTTATCTTTCTGCTTTTGCTCCCATTGACATGTAAGATGGATAAAGACGCTAATCATACATTTACATGAGGCAGTATAGATGAATTTTCTCAACAAACGTCTTTTACATCAGGAAGACAGGTCGATACATCTTAGAAAGTAAGGTGAAGTTCATTCAGTTGGGGAAAAATTCTCACTATTCATTATTTGAAGACATTTTGCAACTCATCATCTCATGACATAATCCCAGCTATAAATACATGAGCTCTATCACTCATGGATAGATACATGACTGAAAACCTTCAGACGTTGATGCATGATGTCCTTAAATGCTGTACTGCAGTATATAATCTAGTAGTGCGACGACAGGACAACAAATAACGTGAAGCTATGTTTTATGAAGCCTGTTCATCCAGTACATAACATTCATTCAATCAACCAACCAACCAACCAATCAATCGACTTATGGCCAAAGAAACACCTCAGAAAACTGAAATATCTTATTTTGCACTTTAACTGTATAAACATGTAAGGTAACATAATATGAGATTTTTTTTGCTTTATGTTGATCTTAAGTACTTTGTAATTTAGCCAATTTGGATTTGTTTATAATTAATGCCAACCTGTTGCATTATAATGTTAGTGAGAGACATACACTTGGAACTATTGATTCTGAACACAACACATAAACCTCTTATTCCATAATGTTACATAGTTTTGATTCTGTTTTATGTCTGATGATCGTGTTAGAATACATGTGGAAGCATCTGTTGTTTCGGTTTCTTCTTCACTTGGTTTTTTTTTTTTTTTTTCTGTACAGAAGATGTGTAATAAGGGACTAAATTGGCCCACTTTCTAGTATATAAAAGTATACTTTTACTATTAGTTTAGTAGTTTTGTACTGCAAGTATACATGTAAGTTTTCTTTAAGTTAACTTTACATCATACTTTAAGTATACTACTATGTCCCTATTTAGGTATTATTTGTATATATCTTGTTACATGAATATCTGAACATACAAAACAAAAGAACAGGGTATCTGCTTGTAAATAAAAACATTTTATTCGTAAATTGACTGGCGTGCCGATAGCCAAAGCCACCACGCCCCCCTCTTATTAGCGTTGTTATTTAGTTGAGCTTTTCCGTAAATTCCATGCATTACCATTTGAGATTGAAGCGTAAAGTCTGAATTTGGTTTACCAATCAAATGCATTTATTCAATATTTGACATTTGAACAATATGTGCACTAATCTTTTAGGTGATCGCTGCCCAGTAGCCTATGTCTGCATTCTCTTACCAAAAAGTAGTATACTTCGTTTATTTTAGTAAGTATACTTAAGTAAAGTTCAAGTATATTTTTAAGTATACTTTATGTAGTAAGTATACAAATATCAGTGTACTAGTAGTATACTTGTAAGTGTACTATTTCAATACTCCTTGGGACTAAATTGGCCCACTTTCTAGTATATAAAAGTATACTTTTAAGTATACTTTAAGTATAACAGTAGTAAACTTTGAGTACACAACTAGTTTACATCAAAATGTTTAGTTTGTACTGCAACTATACTAAAAGTGAACTTATGGGTATACTGATAGTTTACTAATTAAATACTTGTAGCATTTTTAGTACACTTTGAAGTATAGTCTCAGTAAACTACTAGTTTAGTAGTTTTATACTGCAAGTATACTCGTAAGTTTTCTTTAAGTGAACTTTACATCATACTTTAAGTATACTACTACGTCCCTATTTAGGTATTAATTTGTATATATTTTGTTACATGAATATCTGAACATACAAAACATCAAAAGAACAGGGTATCTGCTTGTAAACAAAAACATTTTATTCTAGCTTCATGCATTCTTTTTTTAAACACTTGAATGTGGATTAGTTTCATAAATAAAAAATAAAGAAATAAACAACATTTTGAACAAAAAGCTGAAGAAAGACTATGAATTGGATTCAGAATGATAATCAAAACGTAGATAAAGTCGATCAACACCCCAAAGCTTGACAGTTATTATTACCTCTTCATTGGTCGACATTTTATTCCATAATGTTACATAGTTTTGATGCTGTTTTATGTCTGATGATCGTGTTAGAATACATGTGGAAGCATCTGTTGTTTCGGTTTCTTCTTCACTTGTGTTTTTTGGAAATTCTGTACAGAAGATGTGTACTAGCGCCCCCTACAGTATAACAATGAAAACACGGATTCTAGGAGCACAATTATAGCTAAAATATATTTAGACTTTTTCTAAGTATAAGTCAAGTATACTTAAATGTCATTTTAAGTATATTTCTGAGAAGTACATGAAGCCCATTTCTGAGAAGTACATAAAAAGTAGACTAAAAGTATACTTTCCTATGTTTAGTTCAAAAGAAGTATACTAATAGCACACTTGAATAAACTTTTTTCGTAAGGGTCAACATAACTGCATAATTTATTTATATTGCAATCCATGCTGTTAACTAAAACTCTTTACAAAACAGCAATATTGTTCAATATGAAAGGCTCGCAGCACAATACCACCATGCATAAAGATCTGCTGACTCTTGTTGATGATCTCCTGACCTTTTGCCTTTTAACGAACCCTTCTCCCGCACTGTGGACTGATCACCTAGTCCTAGAGTAAAAGTACATTCCTTCCTGAGCAGAGAATGATGGGGAAGTAGTATGTGAGTATATAATTATCTTGATTGAATGTTGGCCTTCCGCCTGCAAGACATGTAGAATTACTGATGCTTATCATAGTCATTTTAAACATTTTATCCAAAGCGACTTGCATTGCATTCAAGGTAAACTGTTTTATCAGTGAGAATGATGTATGCACTATTCAATCTAGAGATACACACTCAAATGTACTGTAAGGTCATAAGGGCAGCTAAAGCAATTATACAATAAAAGCAATTCATCTCTATCTCTAGTTAATTTTTAATCAACAAGTAAAGACAAAAAACATGCAGCCTTGGGGAATATAAGAGAACTCTAAAACGTTTTTAAAAATCTTCCCAAATTTTGAATGGTAGAGTATATTTAATTGAAACAGGTAATGGATAATATATCAGAGATGTTTGAGGCAGAATGTTTAGGCTAAACAGTGTGTGAATAAATTACAAAAACCCCAAATTATACCTGCTTTCTCTCTATTTCTGTTATGCTTTGAAATTCTTCTAAATACACCTATAGAAATACTTAGTTGAAATACTTTTTGGGGCCACTACTAAGGCACCTTTTGTAAGTGGCTCTAGATAAATGCATCTGTTCAATGACTTACATGCAAACATAGGAGAGTTTTAATTGAATGTTTTAATGTCCTCAAATAAGTCACAAGAAAAAAAATAGAAAGCACCAATTATTTAAATAGTTTATTCTTTTTGGCTTTAAAACTTATTTCTTCTTGCTTTTCTTGTCTTTGCTCTTCTTCTTGCCGTGAGGTTGTGCATGTGCTTTGTTGTAGAGGTAGAGACCCACTAAACCCAGTAAAGTGGGAACCAGCGCCAAGCACAAAACAGGCAAGATGTCATTAACTAGCTTCTGCCACGGCGTTTGCTGGGACAGAGAGATCACCTCCACCTCAAACTCAAGTGTGCTGTCCCCTGTGAGGAAAGAGAGATGGAGAGATACACAATAGATTAATAATCACATGGAACATGATTTAAAGGGAGAGTCCCCCCAAAAAATGAAAATTCTGTCATTGTTTACTCACCCAGAACCTGTATGACTTTCTATCTTCTGTGGAACATGAAAGGAGATATTCTGAGGAATACTGATAACCAAACAGTTTTAGCTCCCATTGACTTTTTATTTTTTGTCCATACAATGTAAGTCAATGGGAACAGAAACTGCTTGCCTACCAACATTCTTTCAAATATCTTTTTTCATGTTCTACATAAGATAGAAAGTCATACATGAATGTGAGCAAGCGATGAAAGAATTTTCATTTTTGGGTGAATTATCCATTTAATCATTTTTAAAAAATAATCATTATTACCAGCTTTGCTAGCTTAAAGCCACTTTAAATGTATGGCCATGCTACCTGGAATGGTTGGAGGGAATCCTCTCTTTCCATACGCGAGATGAGCTGGAATCGTGGCTTTGATTTTTTGTCTGTGCCAAAACAGAGCCAGAAAAGACTGAAACGGACTTTAAAGTGGATGATTCAGACTTCACCCTAAAAGACCTTTTCTTGAAGTGTTCTTCAACATATTCAATCGCTGTACTTTTACTGTCTCTGCCTACATGCATTGCCAAGTGACAAGCAGGCGTTGACTTCAACTTACCCTTCACACAATCCGACCAGGGCTTGCTCTAGGCCTGCCAAGCAAAATAGCGTGTTTTAAAGATATGTGCAATTGTGGAAACAGCACATCATTTCTGTTTATTTCCATGGATTGCAAAAGAAAACATGACCTTAGTTATCAAAACCGTCTTTCTCTAAAAAAAGTCCTGTTGTTATGAATATAACATCATTTGGGGTTGGACTGCAGTGGTGGAGCCTCATACCTGTGATGACAGACCTCTTGCCCAACTCTACGACCAGAGGCTCACGAGACAGAGAGGTGTCAATCACCTTCCCGTCCATTAACCGACCCTGCGCAGGACAGGAGAAATGGTGTTGCAGGTCAGTTGCATTCATTTTTATGTAGATGCAGCTAATTATTTGTTGTAAATACATATAGAACTTAATACAAAAAAATGTAAGTAATAAAATGTAATAAAAGGTGATAGCCACCAGGTCACTGCCAGGATGCTGGAATTGTGGATTCACTTGTAAAAGTTTTGGAAGCACTAGTGTTATACAAAGACAAAATATATAAAGAAGGCGTATTTTAATAATCAGGTTGGGGCATGTTGTCACCAGGTGTTTTACATGCTAAAATTGTAAAACATTTTATTAATTACAATTTCTGTTGACCAAAACAATATTTGTGTATATGTGTTAGACATTTGAATGGTAGTATATATTTAATAGAATATTTAATGAATAATAAATATTCGTATAATTATATAATCATATAATTAATGATTAATAAAACAAAAATGTTTGAGACAGTATGTCTACAGTTTAAACATTATCTGATATATATATATATATATATATATATATATGTGTGTGTGTGTGTGTGTGTGCGTAGTGAACTTATACCTGTGTATATATAGTGTTATTATAGTATCATTAATATACTATTATAGATTTATTAATATTTTTAATTAAACGCATTTATATTTTCGGTTTTAAAGTGAGCTACTCTGTAATGTTTTGTCATTTTAAAGTTTAGAAATTTTGTTGCGTTTTTGTCATTTTATTTTTGTTTGTTTTTTAATATCTACGTAGTTTTTATTACAAGTTGTCACAAAATGTAATGTGTTAAATTAATTTAGTGATTTTAACAAAATTAAAATTCTCTTTAAAATTTTTTTTTTTTTTTTGCAAATACTTTGATGCATTGACCTAATCTAAGAACTATTCACGGGAGTAAAAAAAATTAAATAAATTAAAAAAACTCGGCCTCCTCTTATACGTTCCTATAGCGCTCTCTCGAGTCAGTCACCGCGCGCTCGCTCAGACTCAAATGCTGACGTGTTGCTCCGCCTCCTCCACAACATTTGGTTTCGCTTAAAACTAAAATACTATTACAAATAACTGCATTTCGAAACAGAAAGGTGACTCCACGATGAACTTCTATTCTGTATGAACTAAAGAGGAATGTGTTCATCGTGTTCATCTCTCACGTACTGCATTACAACTCTATTTTATGTCAGACATGGCGAGTCCAGATGTCAGCTTGAGTCTGCCACATCACTGAACGATTTCATGTGCAAATAACCCCCCAAGAGTCCATTTTGACGCATTTTATGTCAATCATACCAAGAGATTTCATTGGGAGGTGCCTCGTTTTACAACATAATAGGCTGTAAAGGCGCAACGCGTTATATTTATTACCGTGTAATGGATTCGAAGCGTGTCTCCCATCTCTGATGTAATCGTGCATGTCTCTGGCTTCACCTAAAATGGTCAAAAACATAATATTGAGAAATATTACAGAGTGGACGTCGTAAGGAAATGAAATGCGCAGACCATCGACTGTACTAAAAAAGATATGCATGTTTGCATTGATACGTGAATGTGCATTTGTCATCAAAGCACGCATGCAGCGAGCCGCTAGTGGACTCTTGTAGTAATAGTCACTCTAGTCATTCATTAAAATAAAAGTTGACCCAGCTTACCAACGTCTCCACAACCAACTGTTCGATCACGCTTTCTTTGCTATCTCCGTCCTCAGCTGCAACAAATGCAAAAGCTGCGAGAAAAATCAAGGCGATTCCTGTCCGAATTCGCATCGTGTCTCACGTTATGAGACAATCAGCACCAACAATAACCACAAAAAGGATAAAAGCTACTCTAAGTGGCTCACTTCCGTCACAAGAGTCGCCCCACTGCAGCCTGCGGCGCTGAGAGAGCCAATAAATACTCGGACACAAGAAGTCACCGAAGGCGAGATGCCAGTTAAAGCTGATGTGTTATTATAGTGAAGAGATAACGGCGGGGTTAGACGACCCTCGAGCACTGGACCAATACCTGGGTCACTGGAATCCCCGCCTTATAATCCGCCAGCATCCCAGAAGTCTCTCCACATGGCTGCTGCTGTTAGAGAACTGCCCTGCTAGAGGGCGCGTGATATTCTGCGGTTGAGAAAAGCACTACTGCATCCTTTTTTTCTTGATTTGTTTAAAGGCAAAGTGTGTAATTTCTGCAAAACAAGCGTCAGTAACCGGAACTGCAAAAATAATAGTTGTTGTCAAACAGGTTTATTGACAACTCCCCCGTCTTCCATTGGTTTCACAAACAGATAGCCCCGCCCCCGCCACGTTGAACCAATGAGCAATGAGCATGAAGTATTTTATGATCCGAAAAGTACGCACTACAGCTTTAAGATTTATTCTTTACAATAAACTTTAATAAAAACATAGATAAATGCGAATGATTTTAATCTATAGTCTATAATGCTTTTGCACCATAAATAAGCTATAAAGGCGTAGCCTACCCTAGTAGCCTATAATTATTTTCTTCTTTGAATTCACATCTTATTTTTATATTTTTAAAGGGTTAGTCCACCCAAAAATGAAAATTCTGTCATTAATTACTCACCCTCATGACGTTCCAAACCCGTAAGACCTCCGTTCATCTTCGGAACACAAATTAAGATGTTTTTGATCAAATCTGAGAGCTCTCTTACCCTCCGTAGACAGCAATGCAACTGCAATGTTCCCAGGTCCAGAAACGCAGCAAGGACATCGGTAAAATAGTCCATGTGACATCAGGGGTTCAACTGTAATTTTCCGAAGCTACGAGAAAACTTTTTGTACGCAAAGAAAACAATAATAACATAACATATTCAACAATTCTTCTCCCGGCGTTACCGTCTTCCGCCATTTTGAAGAGTACCCCAGAACGTAATCATCGTAATCGGCGTTGTTTACATTCAGTCGACAGCACGCACATGCTGAACGTAAATTTGTACATTTGTGTTTGGTCAAATCTGAGAGCTCTCTTCCCCTCCGTAGACAGCAATGCAACTGCAATGTTCCCAGGTCCAGAAACGCAGCAAGGACATCGGTAAAATAGTCCATGTGACATCAGGGGTTCAACTGTAATTTTCCGAAGCTACGAGAAAACTTTTTGTACGCAAAGAAAACAATAATAACATAACATATTCAACAATTCTTCTCCCGGCGTTACCGTCTTCCGCCATTTTGAAGAGTACCCCAGAACGTAATCATCGTAATCGGCGTTGTTTACATTCAGTCGACAGCACGCACATGCTGAACGTAAATTTGTACATTTGTGTTTGGAATGACATGAGGGTGAGTAATTAATGACAGAATTTTCATTTTTGGGTGAACTAACCCTTTAAGTTATCTTTGAGTTATCATGTTATCTTTGCAAGTTATGTTATTTTATTATCACTTTTTACTATTGTTATTTTATTATCAATAGTTAATGTTATTTTAGTATCCCTACCATTATAGTTTGTGTTAATATTTCGAATTAGACTTTTTATTTTTCTGTTTTCATTGTAATTTTAGGTTACGTTTTAATAATTTTGTGTATTTTTTTTTTTTTTTATTATTATTTTTTTTTAGTTTTTATTGAAATATATTTATGTAGGCTAGTTCATATTAAGTTTTAATTTGCATAGTTTTAATTATTTTAGTGCTTTAGCTTAAACTAAACGAAAATGAGAAATGCCTTGCCTTGGCCACTAGCAGAAATAAAACATTTCAAATAGTTATTTCAGTAATTGTTTATTTAATTACAAGTAATTATATTTTGTAATGGTTTTAGTATAGTTACTAAACAATAACAAGTCTGGAGTAGACCGCCATGTGATTTAAGTTACTAAACTATTTCATATTAAGTGTCAGTTTAACAGTTTATTTATTGTTTCATTTCAAGACTTAAAATGTCTTTTTATTTTCCCTTTTGTTTCCCTCAAATAGCCCTAAATGGGTCAAAAATAAACGCAGGCCTACACATTTTATGCTTCAATACAAAAATGCTAGATATTTACTAAGAATTTCCAGGGAAGTTGTATTTTGAAGGACGGTTGTGTTGTGACACCTCAAGCATTTCCTTGGCATGTCATTTGTTTGGCTATATGCTACCTGACCTGACTGGAGGCAGTCTCAAGATGCGAAAACCAAACATCGCGAGAAATTCCCATCCAAGCCTGTGCTGTCGGCGTAAACTCTCGTGAGATTTTCTCTCTCTCTCCGTGTCCAAAATCGGCTGGTGTCAGCTCGCAAGGTAATGCAGATACGTTCAATTGTCGTGTTTGCTTTAAAATGAAACGTTTGGAAGTGGTTCTGACGGGTTGAAATGTTGTCTGTACGTTTGGTGAAATATGACAGCGCGTCTTATATTGCTGCTGGAAACAGAAAGGCGGCAGGCCTTCCGCGAGGCACGTACCGTCTCTCTATCTCTCCAAATGAATGAAGATCTGTATCACAGATGATGTGCTTGCTGTCTTACGCCTCCTCAGATATTATGACGGCTCGGGTTTTAATTGATTCTGGTTTGCTTTTGCATGAATTGTAGTGATCTTGCATAAGAACAATTTCATCCATCTGCTTCGTGCCAAACGCCTCTCTTCACGGAGAAGCTCCGATTTTTGTATCCTACGCCGACATTGTCAAAGGGTCGTAGGCCTTTATGAGCTCCAACAAGCCGGCAGTAATCTAAATTATTAATTTAGAGCCATATTAATGTTTTTAAAGACCATCGTATTAGATATCATGTGGACCTCCGTCTAGCGCAGTTGTATTTCAATGTCTCGTGACTACATTGTTGGGGTCTCTTGCACGGGTTTGAGGAGAATCATTCAGAAACAAGGAAGCCTTTAAAAAACGACGAAGTCTGTTACAAAAATAGTTGGAAATGATATTCGTGATGTGTTTTGTGTGGAAGGGGTTTGCTGGAGGTGGGTCGGGCGTCAGCACCATGGACAGCTCAGCCGGAGTCAGACCCCCGGCCCGCAGCATCATTATCAGATTATTATTCATCACAAACACCTTCTCGTATTACTGTCTTAGTGGACACATTTACATGTGCATCAAGTATACTTTCATGCTGGTTATGCAGCTTTAATATTGTTATCTTTTGTCTTGATTTTAAAGGGGAGGCCAAGGCTAGTTGTCACACATCTGTCAGTATTACTCAGAATAGATTTATTTTTAAAAGTCAGTTTCTTTCTAGGCATGTTTTACGAAACAAAATCTATTTAACATTTCCACTGTGGCTAGGAAAATAGAAAGATACAAATGAACACTCTTTGACATTTGGTGACAACATAACCCAGTAGCAGGGCATTGAGGCATTATAAGCTGTCACAATATGGACATGCTATTTTTTTACTTTTTTATTCAGCAAAATTAAAATTTTGAAACACAAAACAAGTCGTTAAATATGGACATGCTATTTTTTTTTTCTTTTTTCAGCAAAATTTAATTTTTGAAACAGTGCAAGTCATGTAATGGCAAACATGTAAAATGCAAAATATATATTTTTTAATTACGACATTTAAAACATTTGAGAAACTATGCTGACATAAAATGTTTTTACAGGTCCTGTGCTCGCAGTTTAACATTTTCATTTAAAATCTGAACGGGTGTCAATTATGTGCTTTTTATTGTGTTTTGTTTTAGCCTGGATTTGTTTAACCAACAGTCATAGCAAGAATTTGATAATTGGTATTTCAGTTTGATGGACAGAATTAACAAATGAAATATGCTGAACATTTACTCACCCTCAGGCTGTCATCCAAGAAGTAGATGAGTTTGTTTCTTCATCAGAACAGATTTGGAGAAATTTACCATTACATCACTTGCTCACCAGTGGATCCTCTGCAGTGAATGGGTGCCGTCAGAATGAGAGTCCAAACAGCTGATAAAAACATCACAATAATCCACATGACTCCACTTCAACAGCAAGCATCAGTTTATTACATTTGTAAAACACAAATCCATCATTAGGCATTTTTATCTTAAAATCCTTGCTTCCGGCTAAAACACAAGTCTATAATTCATAATAACACTTTCTCCAGTGAAAAAGTCCATCCCCTGGTTTCCTCTCACATCAAAATCCACTGAAATATTTGTTTAGAACTGTTGAGACTGTTTTCGCTGTGCATATTTCTCTTCTGATTTATACAACTTTTTAACTGGTGAAAACAGTATTAAAGGGTTAGTTCACCCAAAAATGAAAATTAGGCTGTGTTTTACTCACCCCCGAGGCATCCTAGGTGTATATGACTTTCTTCTTTCAGACGAATCCAGTCGGAGTTATATTAAAAATTGTTTTTGATCTTTCAAGCTGTTTAATGCCACTCAGCGGGCGTTGCATTGCTTCAGTCCAAAAGAAGTTAAATAAAAAGCGCCCATCCATAAAAAAAAAAAGTGTCTCACACGGCTCCCGGGGG